CGCCCCTTCCCGCTGGGGCGCCTGCGGGGCCGCGAGGGCCCGGCCACTCCGGTGCCGCCGGGCCCTCCCTCGCTCTCGCGCTCCGGCCCGTGTCCTGCCCCGCTGCGCTGCCGGAGCTTTGAGACGTGGGGCCCCTTCCGTTAAGGAAGAGCCACCCCAGCACCCCGCCAGCCGGGCCTCTGAGCATACGCAGAGGGCCCTCGGGAGCCGGGCGGGGGTGAGCCCTGGGGCAGGGCGGGCGGGGCACCCCTCTGGGCATCGTCTCGCCGCTCCCTCCGGGCCGGCTCGCCCGCCATGGGCGGAGCCACGCAGCTCGGTGCGCAACAGGCACTCCCCGGAGCCCGGCATCGCCCTCCTCCTCCTCTGCCCGCCACTTCTCGGCGCCACGTTGGGCGCTGCACATCTGCCCATCTGCCCATCGTACAAATTCTCCCTCTGCAGGCCTGTGATTGGCTCTCCTGTTGCCGTGCCAACCACCTGCTAGCAGGGCTCTCCTTTCAGTTGGTTGCTTGGTTACCCGCTATCTCCCCACATAGTCTGGGCAATGTTTTCCCTCCACTGCCCCCCTCCCCTCCGTCTTCCACACTCTGGAAGGAGCCCCATCGGACAGCCCCCCATGCTGCGCGGCTCCCCCCACACACCCCCACCCCCGCAGGAAGCACCGCACTGGCACCCCAGCAAGTCCCTTCCCAGGGAGGAGGGTCTGTCTGTGTGAGGCACGGGGGTGTGTGAGCAAGCGAGCAAGGAGTGGGTGTGCATTCTGCCGCACCCTTTTGTCTTCTGGCAAAAATATGTGCACACATTCAAAAATGTTGCGTTTATCTGTCTGGGTGCTGCCGTTCGTACTGTCAGATCAGAGACTGCTCCGCAGAAAAATATTCCACTACAGAAAACCATCCTAGGGAGCTGGAGGAGAACCTTGCACAAGATGATGGGGTGGGTGTCCTCCTGGGCCTCCTGGACATGTCGCCGGGCGGGCAGAGGAGCGCTTTCTGTGCGGGGGGTGGGAGGAAAGTGGAGCTATGTGTGTCTGGGGAGGGCCGGCAGCATAAAACAGACTCTCGGCACCCCCGCTTTCCTCTGGTCCAGGCTGCTGCCACCGCTGGCACAGATGGGGCTCCCGTGCGCTGCCCCCTTTCCTTTGCTGCTTGCCGGCAGCGTCTTGACATCTCCGGACTCCGCTGGAAAGCCCAGCTTTTGCTTGCTCTCTCATACATTTTGGCATGTTTTTGGGAGGCCCCATGCTGGGTCAGACCGCTGGTCCCCTGCCACCCGTCCAGCCTTCTGCTGGTGCCCAGTTGCCCAGCAGGAGCCACAGTATCGGGAGCATCTGCACACGGTGTGGCATGAGGCCCCCTCTGGACGGCTGACAGAGAAGCAGCCGTCGCCAGCCAAGGACTGGGAGCACGGCAGGCAGGGGCTGCAAAGGCAGGGCGAGCCCCGGGATGCAGGAGGCCCGGCCTTGGGGCCGAGGGGATGGCAGACGTCCAGCAGGGTTGGGACTGAGCCGGAGGGAGAGCTTGCAGAGTCTTGCTAGGGGCCCCTCCGCTGAGTGGGCACGTTTGTGTCTGCATTTGGAGGTTGCCTTGAAGGCCTGCACCTGCCCGTGCCCTTGCCCTGTGTTAGAGCTCCAGTGAAGGGGGGTGAGGCTGCCCCACAACCATCCTGGGGGCTGTGGAGATGCGGAGCTCGGTGCGGCAGCTAAGACCGGCCCACTCATGGCCTCCGCTCCACAAGGGCTGCACCCCACACCGCTTCCCTGGGGGGGGCAGGCCTGCCCCCTTCTGCTTGCTGGGCAACCCCAGCTGCTGGAATTGGGGGTGCCTGAGCTGCAAGGCGGTTGCCTCTGGGTGAGCCGGGACGGCAGGAGCAGCTCGTGTCCCCGAGCAGGTGGGCAGCCGCGTGGCTCTGGCCTTCCTGGCAGTGGGCTGCTTTCCAGAAAGGAGAGGGCTTTGCTGTAGGTCAGTCGCCAGGGGAGCCTCTGCCCCCCCCACCCAGAAGCATCTTAATGGACCACAACTCGAGGGCCACCCCATCTGGTTTTGGGGCAGGGTCGGGTGTGGTCCTGGGTGGGGAGGGAGCCGGCATCTCCCCACCTCCAGTCCACCTTCATGCTTGCTGTGGCATCCAGGGCACTCAGCTGCCTGAGTGGCCACAGACTGTCTTCCCGGACGGGGCATCCTCTGTTTTCTGCAGCACGGCCCCTAGCGAGTCGCTGACAAAAGGATGACGTTGATACAGCTGCCCTGCTGTGCCCTGAACTTCCAACAGCGCTAGCCCTTCCGCTTGGCTCGACAGAATCTGGCAAATAGGTTGCCCGAAGTCTGGGCATTGGCAAGCCAGAGAGCAAGGGGCTGCATCTGCACGGCCAGGCAGCAAAGTCCTCAAAACCCACCACAGAAGGTCACAAGTCACGACGCGGGGTTGACTTGGCCACCTCTGCTGAGCGTGGCAAACAATGAAACATCAAAAGAGAATGACGAATAAACCATACAAACCCGCCGCCACCACCACCATTTTCTAGTTCATGGTTTAGAAAAAAGAGGCAGCAGATGGGTTTGTTCAATCATTTGACAAAATCCTTTCCTTCTGATTAAAAACCAGTGCTAAGTGCATTGTTTTGCTGGCTGGTGCAGAGATTGTTGTAAAGGAAATATTCGGCTGTAGCAGGCTGATTCCAGAGCGAAACATCAAGCGTCCAAAAGCTCCGGTGGTGGCGTTTGCATTCTCTCTGGGACAAGAGTTGTTTGCCCCCAGCATTTGCACCCTAAGCCCAACTCGCTTCTTTTGCTAGCCAAGGCCATGACCGAAGACTGAGCCTCCACCACCCACTGCACCCCCAGCAGTTGACATCCGGGGCGTCTTCTTTGAGCTTCAGGGGTGCCGTTTTTGCCTGCCTGTGTTTTGTTCTGGTTCTGCAAACTTCCGCTGTGCTCTAGTTGTGCAGCTCAGCTCCTGCCTGATTAGGACGTGGCTGGCGCTGGCATGAGGACATTTGCATCGTTATAGTATGTGGGAAATGGCTGCCGGGGTCTTCGGGGATTCTGGCCCAGCTGCTTGCTCGTTTCATGTTCGAAGAATCTCTCTTTGTGTGCGTGACGGGGCTGCCTTGTCCTCAGCACCACGTCATCCGCAGCGTGCCTCGAGCTGGCCCGCATTTGGCAGGCACCCGTGCTGCTCCATTCGCGTTGTGCCGCCTGCTGAAGACTGGCACGGAGGTGCTGCGCGGGGCCGGCGGCCCGTCCCTTCTGCCCCCAGCCCCCCCCCCCCCCGCAGGAGCCTCGTGCCCAGAGCGCACCTCTCTTCACGCCGGGCGAACTGTCGGGGCCAGGAGGGAGGCCAGGCTGGGCCCAGTGCGGCTGCGAGAAGGCCCTCCCTGGGGGCCCGGGTGTGTGACCTGGAGTGCCGCAAAGCTTGATTTGGGAGGCCCAGGACACGTGCTTTGCATGCCGCTGTCGCCTGCGGCCACGGTGTATGGGTATGCTTTGCATTCAAATGGCCGTGCCAATTCGAGAGCATCGCCGTGGGTCTTCACTGGGGAAATCTCCCGATCATCGATCATCGTGGAGTTGCAGGAGGTGCCCTGAGCTGGCGTTGGCATGTGAGAACCTTTGAGCATTAGCTCCTGACTCTGCTGGTGACAGGCTGGTGCCCAGCAGGACAAGGAGCCAGTGAGCCTCCTCAGAACTGTTCCTGCCTCCACCATCGCGGGCAGGCAGGGCGGCTGCAGCAGACTCGGGGCGCACAGCAAGACATCGCAGGCCCTTCCCTGGCACGCCTGTGCTCCCTGCCCTCTCTCTGCCTCGCACCGCGGCCAGCCCTGCAGCCCGGAGGAGGCCGCCCCTGCCCCCTCGCCCTCACCCTCGCCCTGCTGCCTGATGCCTTCTGCCTCTCTCTTCCCCAGCGGCCATGGAAGAGGAGCTGATACTGCTCTGCTCCCTGCTGGTTCCAGCCATGTTAGCAGACGGTACGTGCAGCCTCGGCCCCCTTCCCTCCAAGAGAGCCTCGGCGTCCCTTGCCTACCTGCGGCTGCTGTAGGGCTGTGGGGAGAGGGGAGGGGCCTGTCCGGATCCCTGGCAGCTGAGCAGGCGAGAGGACCTGGAGAGGCAGCTGGGCCTGGAGGCTCTCTGCCTGCGCCCCACGTCCTCCCAGCTCTTTGGCCTTCATCTTGGTTTCTCTGTGGGAGGAAAGGGCTCTGGCGAAGCATCCTTTCTTCAGAGGGCTGAAGTCTCTCCATTATCAGCTAGGCAGGAAGCCTTCCAGGGACTGGGCTTGCCAGTTCTTTGGCCTCCCCTCAGAAAAGAACCCCCCGTTGTGCAGGGCAGCAATGACAAGAGCGTCCTTGCCCTCCAGTGGCCGTGCCCGGGGCCTGAGCCGGCAGCAGCCGCTGCCTCTGCCACGCTCTGGGTTTTCTACCCAGAAGCTGCTCTGGACTGCCTCCCACTCCGAGCTGAACCACCTCCTGCTGCCTCTGCTTGGGCCCCAGGATGACTGCCTGCCTCCGCCTGCCTGCCTCCCCACCCCCCACAATCTTGCTCTCAGGCAGGATGGGGTCTCAGGCCTTTTGCTGCCCACCCACCCATTTCATCGGTGCTCATCTGTTTGTAATTTCCAGTGACCGATCAGGAGAAAGAAAAGGACCCCTTTAAGTACGGTGAGTCTCCCGCTCCTTCTGGCAGCCGCCAAAGCGGCCAAAGCCAATCGCTCTGCCTGGAGCTGCCACCGCTCCCTCTTGTTTCCTACAGACTACCAGACCTTGCGGATCGGCGGCCTGGTCTTCGCCGTGGTCTTCTTCACGGTTGGCATCCTCCTGATCCTGAGTAAGCGAGTGGCTGCGCCCGTGGCCAGAGGGCTCGGGGCTCGGTGGACAGCCTGCAGCCAGCAGGCCAAGTGCTCCCCAGGCGGGGGCTCTGCTTGCCCTCTCGGGGCCAGAGCACGGAGGGGGGCACTTCTGCTGCCAGGCGGTGACGGACCTGGAGAGCTCAGCAAGAGCCCCACGCCCCTGCGAGGCATCCCAGGCAACTCGGCGTGGCCCCGCGGGGCGACCTGAGCAGACCACAGGGCAGCAGAGAGCAGGCAGGGGCTCCCTCCTGCTCAGGGACACTCAGGGCGGTGGGGGGAGGAGCACTCACCCAATCTTGCAGGGAGCCTGCAGCTTCTGTTGCCCCTTCCTTCTCTTCCCAGGCCGGAGATGCAGGTGCAGCTTCAAGCAGAAGCCCAGGTACACGACAGGCGGGGGGGCGGACTCTCAGCGGGCCCTGTTCTGCTTTCCCCATCGACTTCCGCACATCCCGCGAGCAGGAATGGTCACATCCCGCGAGCAGGAATGGTCCGGCCTATGGCCCTCCCAGCTGCGTCCCTCTCCCCTGCTCCTCTGGGGACCTGCTTTGGGTGGGAAAGCACCCGGAGCAGAGCGGCGAGGACCCTATCGGAGTTCTGCAAGGCTGCACATGCGATGGGGAGCGCCTGGCTGGCCGCATGCCAGCGGTGGGTGCGTCAAGGCCGGCCCCGTGGAGTGTGGCTGCCCGTGGCAGAGGGGGTGTCATGGGGTGGTCTTCCTCCATCAATCCCAGGGCTGTGCACACTGAAAACAATAAAGTACCGCACATGACCATTTCAAGGAACAATGAGAGGGCTAAACTAAAACTTGAGACAGAAAAATGTAGAGGGCAGGAATGCAGCCAAATATTCAAGGCACTTCAGCTCACCTGGAGAGCCTCAGGGGTCGCATAGATTGACTTTGTTTATTCATTGCGCCTATCAGTGCACCTGAGCCTCACCCTGAAGCGTGTTGGAAGGGAGGCAATGGGGGCGTGGAGGCAGCAATGGGAGGGCAGGGCTGCGATGGAGGTTCGCCGCCCAGGGCTGGGAATCGGGGGGGGGGGGGGGTCACTCAGCTGTCTGGCAGGCGGCTCAGGCAGGCGGGGAGCAGGGGGCCTCGGCGGAGACAGGTGGGGGAGCAGCAGGCCTGGGGGCAGGTGAGGGGGCCTGGGCAGTTGGCGATGAGTGGGCAAGGGGGTGGCCCGAGCCACGAGAGAGGCTGGCTTCGGCAGCACGAGTCACCAGCATGGCTCACAAGCTGCCCGGGGATGCGGGCCGGCCGCTGCTCTCCTCTGAGGAAACTCTGCTCTTGCTCTTTGTCTTCAGGGCTCCCGGAGAGGAGGAGGCCCAGGCAGAAAATCTGATTGCCTCAAATGGTAAGGGCCCTTCCCGTTCCCGGTGCCCCGTCTGTGTGGAGCTGCCTGACAGCCCTGGCACTGTGTCCCAGGTGCCCAGCGGCTTGCTTGTCCACAGCCCCGGGAAGCAGCCGGCCCACTCTTGGTAATACATGGACCTGCAGGCCCGCAGGAGCAGAGCGCCAGTCCTGGCAGGCCCTGCTGGCCCCCCGGGACAGGCTCTCCAAGCTGAGGGCGCTGATCCCCTGTTGCGTTGGCATCGACCCTCTTCGGCCCTCCCAAGGCAGAATCTTCTCTGAGGAGCCGGTGGGCAGCACCAGGGCGAAACGCATGGCTGCCCCCCCCCCATTCCCACACACAGCCCCTGGTGCAGCCAGCCACACTTCGAGCCTGCTGTGGCCTTGCCCTGGTCCTCACCTGGCCTTGTTTTGCAGCGGCAGGAGCAGCGAAAGCAGAGAATTGAACAGCAGCCAAGAGGTGAGCTTTCTTGTGGGGGGAGAGGGCTGTCCTTTGGGGGGGTGGGCATGGCAGCATGAGAACTGCAGAAGGGTGTCCCCAGGGCTTCTGTGCCCGATACCCACTCTGGAATAGGGCTACCATCATGCAAGCGCGCCCATATGGATGGGGGCTCCTTTGGCCCCTGCGGTGGGGTCCTGCCTGAGATCCGATTGAGAACTTCCTTGGCTGCGTTTGCTGAATGATGACAGACCTGCCGAGCATCTTCGCTTCTCTGGGCAGTTGCCTCTTCTCCCAAGTCTGTCCAAAAGTGAACACTGAAGTTTGGGAGGGAAATGCTGGGATCTCTCTGGAGTGCAGCGCTCAAGCTTCTGTGCTTCTGAGTGGCGGGGAGAGACCCTTCCTGCAGAACTGGCGTCCTGCGTCCCCTCCTCTGATCCCATTCTAGAGGCTGCAGAGGGGGGTGGAGGTGTACCCCAGTCTTGCCCCGTGTGTCGCTTCGCTGCTGCCTGGTATGCTTCAGGACCGTGGGTGTTCTCTGTGGAAGGCAGGCCGGGCGTGGGCTCCTCTGGGCACCCTCGTGGCGGGTGCCGTGCCCCTGGGTCTGCTTGGGGAGGCCACGCTGCCAGGTTGGGGGAGCCTTGCAGCTGGAGCAAGCCATCTGACCCGCGAGATGAGCGAGCCGCAGGCACGGGCCGCCTGGGCGACAAGCAGGCCTGACCTGCCCAGGTGGCCCTTCCCTGAAGGACTGCTCCCACCAGGCAGGTGCTGGAGCGCTTGTGCATTCCTCCGCGCTGCAGATTGAGAGAGCGGAGGGTGAGCCCGCCAGCCCCCGATGCGAGCAGCACGAGGAGCCGCTGAGGCGAGCCCGGGGTCCCCGCCAGGACGTGCCAAGAGCGCCACCCCGTCTGCGTCCGCCAGTGTCTCGGAGCCTCGGTTCTCTGCCAGGTCCGCCAGACTCCATCCTCCCTGCCGCCAAAACAGAGCCACTGTGTCATGTGCATCCATGGTGCCCCTGGTAGCTCCACTGTGATGTTGTTGTCGTGTGGGCGTGCCCCGTGTCCCCTCCCCACCCCACTTTCTCCCACCCCCTCCCCTGTACTGCTTTGACATGATGCCCCTCCCCGTGGGGGCAACTCCTGCAGGGGAACCTCCCTTCGGGAGCGGGGGGCTCCCTGCTCTGGGAGAGCTCACCTGCCCCACTGTCTTCTGGTGCCCTTCCAGGGGGATGTGGGCACTGGGACAGTGCGCCAGGCTGTGGAGAGCGCCTTCCCCTCGGTGTGAGTTGCCTTGTCTCTGGTCCCGGTGACATTCCAGCAGCTTACAGGAGCAGAGGGTGCCCCCGTCTCCCTGCCCTGCCTTTCCCTTGCCATATCTCTGCTGTGTGTGCATATGCCACATCTGTGTCGCCCACGCCTCTCTGTCGTGTTCCTCCTGCGCCGTCAGTAACGGCCGTTTAACACACCTGGTAGAAACTGCCCAGCTGTAAAAGTGTTGTGACTCTGAAAGCTGAACCCTCTGTCGTGCGTTCCTCTGAAACAGGCCGCCCTGCTGTGATAAAGGCTGGTTGCATTTTTGTGTTGTGTCCCCGAACCCAAGAGAGGAAGGAATAAAATAGTCTTTCTACTTCAGTGGCTTGGCCTCCTCTTTGCAGTCCCTGGGCAGCCCAGAGCCGGAGCCCTCCTGCCCAGCGCCAGCACTGAGCGCTCTGCCTGTCCATCCTGCCACCCAGAAACACCGGCCTGGCTCCCCCGGCCTCCTCCTTTTGGGCAGCCCGTTTGAGGGAGGGGATGATTTTTCCACTGTCCTTATCAAACAACTGGGAGCCCGAAATCTCTGCTGTGCCACTGCAGATCAAGCAGAGGCCCACTGGGCGATTCCTGTCTTTTTTCTGCCCACCTGCGCTCTGAGATCCCCCAGGTCTGATCCTTCCCAGGTGCACTGGTGCCCTCACCCGCGTGCTCCGTGGCTCTCTTGCTGGGCCCGAGAAGCCTTTCAAGGCAGGCCCCTCCGTGCCCCAAGGACAGCTGCCTTCTGCGGTTTCATGTTGCCATTGCCCTTTGGCACGCAGCCCGTTTTGCCTCCTGCTGTCCGTTTCTTCTCCTCCTAACGGGGAATAACCCTTTCACTGGAAGGACCTGGCGGGGAAGCTCTGCTCCCCAAGGCTCTGCCGCGTCGGTCCTGCAGGCCTGGTGGGGTGGGCGGTGGGGGCTCTGACGTGCAGTGATGTGCTGTTTGCCGCCCTCCCCGGAACAATCCAGCCACTCTGACCAGGGGGCAGCAGCTCTGCACGGCCGCATGCACACCGCTCCTTTGCTGCCCTTCCCTGCTCCACCACAGCCTGGATGCTGGAGCAGAAACTGGGCTTCGGTTGCCCTGCCCGTTTGCCAGCTGTCTGCCAACTTCACACCATTGTACAGGAGGCTGGACGAAAGATGTGTTTTCGGGTCAGGGCGAATGCTCCCCGTTCCCTCCAATTTGGTGCCCAGCCTTGTCAATTTGGTGTGGCCAGGACTGAGCATGACTTGGTGCACTTGTGCCCCGCGGCCCAAGGCGTACCATGCACTGCAAGAGGGCACCTGTGCAGAGTGGTGGCTTGCCACGTGTGCATTCTGGACACACTAACAGCACGAGCAAAGTGTCCTGGCCACCAAGGGCTGTTCAGGAAGCAGGGGGGCCGAGTCATCTCCTTCCGACACGCATCCTTAAGAGCAGACTCCAGGTTTGGCTGGGGGGCTGGGAGGGCGGGCAGGCCAGCCTCCACTCTGATGTGGCGGCTTGGCAGACGTCTTTAATGTGCCGTAGGAACAATGCTAATGGAGGCGTGTTTCCTGCGGGAGCACTGGGGTCACTGCGTGGGCTTGTCTCGAGCCAGTCCAGGCCAGAGATCAGCCGTGAAAGAGTCGCGTTGTGTGCTGCAGCCAGCTAGTTGAACATTAAAATGCGGCCGCCAGTGGGGTGCTGCATGCAGGAGGCGGCTGGCTCCTTCCCTGGAACCGGCCGCTTGCTTCGCAGTGGCAGTCAAGGTCAGGCTGACTCGCGCTCCAGCGGGTGCACAGAGATGCGCCACACCGGCACACACCGGTGGGAGCACATGGAGTGCCACCCGCAGGGGGGACTGGAGCATGGGAGGTGCCTGCGGCGGGGCTCCTCATAAAGGAAAGCCCTGAATTCAGCAGGCCGCCTGCACAGGCTCACGGGGGGGCGGGGGGGTCTGCTGGCACGGATTGAGGTCTCCGGAGCCCTGAGGCAGATATTACCAGAAAATTAATCCACTTCTGGTGCCTGACCTGGATGGTCAATGATTGACAGACCTCGAGAACCCGTGTGTACCTGGCGCACAGGCAAGTGGTCTGTGGCCACTTCCAGGCTGTGACGCTCCCCCTCTGGGGGCTCGCGCTGCTCCTGCCCTGCTGCCTTCCTCCTGCTGACAAAGACCCCTTCGTTCAGGAGGCCTTTGGCCTGTTCGGGACTGGGTGTGCTTCTCGTTCTGTAATGGCTGTTTTACTGTGTATCCATGCACTTTCTTGTGCGCCAGGTTGGCTTGTTTTGTAAGCTGCCTTGGGTGCCATTTTGGGGCAGAAAGGCGAGGCAGAGATCAAGTAAGAAAAGACGCGTGCATGTTCAGGAGAAGCCTCGCTCAAGGCCTCGTCGTGTGCGAGGCTGGTGCTGAGCCCCCCTCACACCTGTCCCTTCAGGCATCACACAGCAAACCGCTGGCCCTAAGGTGATGCCTCCAGATCCTTGGCTGGCCCTTCGTGGGCTGTCTGTGGCCCGGTCCTCACAGGTGGGGGGAAAAGCTAAACGCAACCAGATGCCTTCATGCGGTGTAATGTGCACTTGGTGCTGTTAACAGCAGTACACCAGTCAGGTGCACCTAAAGGCAAGGCTGGCAGGGAACATCCAGGAAGGGCTCCGGCTTGGGAAAGGGAGGGCAGCAGGAGCTCAGTGGGGGTCCCCGCAGGCAGCGGCAGGTCCCAGGGGCCTTCTGCGGGGGGGGGGGGCTTCCAGGGCCCCAGTGCAGTGGCCGGGTGTGCTCATGCTCAGGGCGGCCCCGCGAGCCCGGCACCTCAGGGAGCGCTTCCACCACGGCCTCATCGGGGCAGCTTGGGCATCCGCCCCTCCCCACCGCCTCCCTCGTCCTGCGCCTTCCCCACCTTGCCCGAGCGCCCGGAGGCCCGCGGAGCTCCCCCTTGGAGCTCCCCTGCCTCTCCCCAGGACGGCACGCCTGTCCAGCGGGCTCCAGGCTGCGCAGCGCCGGCGTAGCGAGCCCATTAATGTTTAACGGGGCTTGGCCGCCCTGCCCACCCCGCGCCGAAGGGGCGCGCCGCGCGGCCCCGTCTCAGAGCGAGGCGATCCTGGACGACGGCGGACGGTAAGCCCTCGCCCGGCTTGGCGGGCCGCTCTCGGCCGGGGCTCCGGGCAGGCGGCTCGGCGGTTTACCTCCGCAGCTTCTCCCTGGCCCTTCGCAAACTTCGGGCGAAGCGAGGCGCGTTCCGCCCACGCCCGCCGCGCTTCCCTGCAGGCGCCGGATCGCAGCGCGGCTCAAGCCGGAGAAGCCGCGACTGGGGAGGAAGCCGCCCGGCCCCGCCTCGGGCGGCGGCGGCGGCCTCGCCCTGGCCCGTCCAGCGCGCCGTGGCCGAGCAGCCCTGGGCGCCCAGCGCTGGACCGCACCGGAACAAGCTGCTCGCCGCCCACGGCAGGGCGCCCCGGCCCAGGGATTCCGTGCGCGGGACTGGCCCCACGGCTGCAGCCAGGGAACGCCGCTGGCTGGCTGACCCAAGCAGGACGTGCGGTGGCCCACAGGTGCCAGGGCTACCAGTGCCTCCGGAACAAGTGCTGCAGCCAGGAGGCATCAGCCACCGGCTCCGGCCAGCTTTCTTCTGCCTGGGCTGCCCTGGGCCCTGCTAGGCAGCAGCAGTCCCGGGAAGATCTCCCACTCCAGCCGTCCCACTAAAGCAGTGCCGGGCAATGCGTGGCCTTCCAGAGGTTCTGGCCTACAACGCTCAGCGTCTGCCACTGCTGGCTCCCCCATCTTGCCCCATCACAGGCCCACCCACCCAGAGGGCCACAAACCGCCCTCTCCTGGGCTCATGGCTCTGGGGCCTCTCCCAGCCACTGCCAGCCCCACCCCCTGCCCGGGAGCAGCTGCCGCCTGCCATGCCGTGTGCCAGCCTTGCCTCTTCCCCGGCCTCTGTGACCTTCCCCCCTCCGGCTTTTCTCCCTCCAGAAAGCTTCCCCAAGGCCAAGATGGATCGCTTTTCTTACGGTAAGGAAGGTCTGGGGGTGAGGGGGGGTGTGAGTAGGGTGGGATCCATCCAGGATGGAGCAGGGGGCGGCCCTCACACAGGAAGCATTTGGGGGTGGGAGGTGTGCCTGGAGGGTCCTTGGGATGTTTTGCAGCTGTAAATGGGAAACGCTGCCCAGCAACACCTTTGAGTAGCTCACGTTCTCTGTCAGAAGAACGAGTGTGTTTGGTGGTGTATTAAAGGTGCCTTTTTAAATAGCACTTTAGAATGCTGGCTTTTTGGCTAATTCAGCTACTCCAGAGCAGCTAACAGTCAAAGCATTTATTGTGTGGCCATGAGCATTGGCTTATTTGCGGGGAGGGGGTTGCATCTTGCGGGGGGGGGGCAATGTGATACTTTCCTGTTGTTGAAGTCCTAAAGTAATGAGCAAATGTATAAGCAAGTACAATTTTGGTTCCCCCTCCCCGTGGAGCATTTCCCCAGCACTGAGTCCTCACATGCACGTATAGGAATGTTCCACTGCGCCACCAAATGTGGGCGGGGGGGCCCCCACAGCCCAGAGTCCTGCAACATGCAGCTGCCGTGCCGGCCGGGGCTTACTGCTCTCCCCCATCATTTCCCAAGATTATGAGACCATCCGCAACGGAGGGCTGGTCTTCGCTGTGCTGGCCTTCCTGATTGGACTTGCCATCATCTTCAGTAAGTGTCTGGGTTTGGGGACTGGAGGGCCGGCATGGAGCCACACGTGGGCCCAGCCATGTGGGATGGTGCCCACACACCCTGGCAGCCATGGGGGGGGGCAGCGCTACTTCCTCCAGCTGAACTGCAGCCCTGGCCATCTTGCCCTGGACCTTTGGCTCGCCAAGCACGTGCTCCCACCTGCACCCCAAGCTGCCCAAGGAGACATGGGCAGGCGTTGGGCAAGTCTGCCCTTTCACCCAGGCCCTCCCCAGGCCGCTGCCCGCCTCTCCATGCATGTGTTCCCTTCTGGCCCCGAGCTGGAGTCTGACTGCCCAACAGGAAGAAATTCACCAGGTGGAGCTTTGCCCACCCTTCTCTCCAGGCAGGCGAGGCCACGTTTCACGTGCTCCACGTCCTCCTAGAAGACGCACATTCTGGAAGGAGGAAGGGGAGGTTTTGCGGCTTTTCCTTCTCCGGGTGGTGATGGCGCCAGTGCTTTCACCACCTGCCCTCAAGGCGGGGCTGGGGGCTCATCCTTCCATGGGGGGGGGAGAGGTCCCCCGCCCTGCTGCTAATGAGCGAACTGCTTCCCCTCCCGTGCTGGCTGCCTGCCCTGCCCTGTTTGGCTGGATTTTTATCTCTGTGGAAAGTTCCAGCTCCTCTGCGGCACCTCGCAAGCCCCATGGCGGGGCCCAACCTCCAGGGCGCGGCCTCTTCTTGAGGGGCAGAGGACTGGGGAGGCGAAGGCAGCAGCTGGACTCGAGCAGTGGAAGCCCTCTGAAGGAAGGGCACCAGGAGATCCCCCCCCCCGCCGCCAATGAAGGCACCAGTTTGCCTGAAGTAGCACCCTGTTTCTGCTTTTAGGTCGGCGCTTTCGCTGTGGAGGGAAGAAGCAGCAACGACGGTGGGTGCCGCTTGTGGGTGCCGCTCTCCCCTGCCCCATGCCTGCCCTGCCCCCAGCCTGAAGGGGGGCTGGGCATTCAGGGGGTGGGTGCTCAGTGACTCAGTTCTGTGCTCCTTCCTTTCAGGCAAGGTGAAGACGACAACCTCTGAGCAGCACGGGTACGTCTGGCCAAGGCAGGGCATCCGCTGGCCCTCTCCTGGCCAGCCCATGCAGGAAGGAAGCACAAGAGGCCACCAGGAGCTGACCCCACACTCCCCCAGGACTTTCCTTGCTGCCTGGGGTGGGGTCTGCTGCTCAGGGTGGGCATGGCCCTGGGGCTTTCCAGGAACAGCCATCCACACCTGGGGCCAGCGTGGTACCTGAGGCCACTCCATGCCTCCGGATCGTGCTGGTCAGCCTGGGTAGTGGAGGATGCCCAGGAGCTGAGCAGAGGCCCTGCTCTTGCTTGCATGGGTTCAGTTCTACCTGCCTCTGCACCCTTGGCTTAGCAGCGGCCGAAGAAGCAGCGCCTGCTCCCAGCTGTGGGCAGGGAAGCCACCGAGGGAGGCGGGGCGGGCAGGCGGGGAAACGCTGCCAAGGGCCCCGAGGTCCCAGGGGGCTGCTCATCTTTCTTCTGCCTTGCCCCTTCCCCTTTACAGCCCTGCTCTGGAGGGGTCTGCGAGAGCCAGGAGGAGCCTGGCATGGCGGCCCTCTGCGCTCCAGGGATGCACGTGCCCCTTTCGCTTCTGAGTGGCCCCCAAATCAACGGCATGGAGCTCCGCGTCTGAGGGAGGGCCCGCTGGCTTGTGCATATCAATAAAGTATCCAAAAGGGAAAACGGCTTCCTGTCCGCTGTGTCCAGGGAGGCAACCCCCACCTGCTCTGGGGCGGCCTTCCAGCTCCCCTTTCGCCAAGGCACCCAGGACTGAGGCCACCTTTGATCTGGCCCCAGCAGGGCCACCGGCTGCGCCTGCTTCTGTGGGGGGGAAGGGGGCCCCTCCTGCCCCCAGCACCCAGCCTCTCGCTGCCCCGCGAGGAGGGAGCTCCTGCCCCTCCGTGCTGCATCCGGGGGCAGGTGTGCAGGCCCTGCTGAGGCGCGTCCGTCCCCTCTCCTGGCCCAGGCGGGTCGTGGGATCCCCCGCCGGCGCTTAAGGTGCGTGGCCGCGCCAGGCTGCCGGCTGCGCAGGGCGGATTTGGGGCGCCCCCGAGCGCGCCCCTGGCTGCGGGCGGAGGCGCTTCCGAGCAGGCGCAGCGGGGCGGCTCGAGTGCCTGGCGCGCCTTCCCCGAGCACCGGCTCGCCGTTCGGGGCCCCGGGGCCAACCTTGCCTCCGCCCCGCCCCGCCCCAGGCGCGCTCCCGGCGCCTCGGGCGCGAGCCGCGGAGGAGCTCGCACGGCCCGCGACGGCGCAGCGGGCGCAGGGAGGCCCCTCCAGCCCGGCCCCCTCGCTCCCTCGGCCTTCTCCCGCACGGGCAGGCCGCCTCCTTGGAAGCGCGGGCGGGCGCGGGCGAGGGCGCGGGCCCCCGGGGCGCCCGCGCCTCCC